ATAAATATAAATATAAATATAAATATAAATATAAATATAAATATAAATATAAATATAAATTGAAAAAACGTTCTTTTTTTGAATTTTTACTCTCGTTTCCTTTCGTGCCGTTCCGGCAAAACGATGTCGTGTGAAAGCGTCCATCTTAAAACTTTGACAGCTTCGTGTCCGTCACACAAACATGGCCGGATAGGTTATCATGTTAATTTATTTATTAAAAATTTTAATTCAAACGACTTAGATATAATAATTTTAACCTAGTATAATAATGTAGTGAATTCAAATATATAGTTTAAGTTTTAGAAAATGTTTTACCCATTTTATCTTATTTATATTTTAACCCAAGTGCTCAAGGATGTTAATTTGCTACAATGCAACAAAATGCAACAATTGACTGACGAATTTGAAGTGCCAGAAACTGCAATGTCACAGCCACAAAAGTCGGCCAATATTTTAACGCAATCATGGCCAAAAAGGAGGAACTTATGACTTTACCCGAATCTGGTAGGAAAGACAACAGATCAACCCGAAGGACAATTTTTGGCCAGCTACTGCTCGAACTAAAGCAGCGATAGACTCTTGGTTCAAGGATCTTGCTGGTACTAAACCACTGATAAATTTAGCGAAGAAGGCTCCTAATTTTAATAAGAAGGAGGAGATATTTATGATGTTGTGTGAGAATGGGGTTGCTATGTCGAGGGCTGCTTGGTTTATTAAGTTGAGCTCTGCGTATACTGTTGCTGTATCTGAGGCTAAGATTAAGAAGCGATCGTTTACCTGATCCTACAACAGGTATAAAAAATAATATAATAATTAATAATAAACTAAAAACTTTGGAAAACAAGATTAATTTAATCTACATACCAGATAATTTTGGTTTATATGAGTTTGCACTCATTTATATCTTACTTATATATAACAAGCCTTATATATAAATAGAAAAAATAGAGGTTTACAAGCAATTGAAGTAAAACTTTTTTGCTATCATACGAGATGGCATTTAAGTTAAAAATAAATACATCATATAACAACTTTGCGTAATTTTCATTAGTAATTTGGTAACACTCGTCGTGATGCAGACAATTATTAGTGCCAACCATTATACACATTTATATAATGATAAATTATAATTTATATATTTATAATAGCATTAAAAATATGTATAATATTTAAAAACAATAATGTGATTAAAGTCATACTTCAAATATGACATGATCGGTTTGTCATTGTAATTAGCAATTAGGATTTGAACCTTCATTAGAAAAATGAAGTAATTGCTGATTAATGAATTCTATAACATTCGCTCACATAGTTGATAGCTGTAATATAACAATTTATAATTATTTATGAAATGAGATGAACGAGAACAGTGAAATATCATTGAATCATCAATTTCTTCTTGTTTTATAATGTGTCTAAACGATTGAAAGTGTTTTGTTTCATTCGTTAGTCGTTTTCTCCCATTTATTGTCCTAATTTTTATAAATAATAAATAATCCATTACTTCATGTAATTAAAATTAAGATATATTCATTGACTGTTTGTTTTTTTTTGACTATTTTGCTGGCAATACAGTCTCATTCTTTGAACAGCTGTATTATGTGTCTTGCCTAAAAAAATTATTTCTAAAAATATATAGTAACCACTAAATTTTTACTTTTTTATCTCCAACCCCTATTTTTTTATAGTCATTTTAGTGATTCAATCATTTTTTATCCCGCGTTAAGTCGTTAAATGTTTTTGGCATAATTTTAGTTCAGATTTTTGCGCTTGAAGAAAATGCTTAAATTTTATATTAAATTACAATTTATTTTTATTAAAGGTTGTCCATTCCTAATGCTTTTTTAATATTGGCGTCAACTTTTTTTATTTTAATTTTTTTAATGCGTAATTGACAAAATACATACATTTCTTTTGACTTCAAAATGTTAATTATTTTTATCAAGGAATGTCCACCCCTAACATCATTTTCAAATTTTTTAACCAATTTTCTTTATTTTAATTTTTTTAATGCAGAATTACAAAATATATACAACTCTCTTTACTTCAAAAAACTATTTATTTCTATCAAGCGTTGTCCACCTTTATTTTTTTAAATTTTGAAATCAATTTTCTTTTAGTTTTAATTTGACCTTTATTTGACATAATTTTAGTTAAGATTTTTTTGAGATGATTAAATGTTACTTGAAAAAACAATTTATTTTTATTAAGGGTTTTCCAACACATTTTTTCAATTAAGAGATCAATTTTTTTTATTATAATTTTTTTAGTACGGAATTGACAAAATATATACAACTCGTTTTACTTCAAACACCTATTTATTTTTACCAAGGGTTGTCCAGCCTAACTTTTTTTTTAAATTTTGGAACCAATTTTCTTTAAATTTTAATTTTCATAATATAGAATTAAAAAAATGCATACAATTCTAAATTTTCACCCTCCTTCCACAAATCTCTATTTCATAACTTAGTAATAGAATAATTTTTTACCACACTTTTAGTCAGTGAGTGTTTTTTATACTGAATTTTAATTGATATTTTTCTGATCTTATGATAAAGCATTAATTTTACTTCAACAAAAACAATTTATTTTTATCAAGGGTTGTCTGCCCCTCCCATTTTCCCTTTGTACAAATATTTCCCGATGCGCCCAAACAGTATAAAGTTTATAAATGGTTTGCATAAAGAGCAATTTTTGCGAAGAAATAGAGATATTGAATATTAAAATCTGAAGATACAACGGTTTTTGATAGGAAACTATAGGTACCATAAAAATCTAGGGCAAAGATGTAAAATTTTGCACTCTCTCATTTTCTTTCAATCGCAGTAAATTCTCTGGGAATTCCACATAACAATATAATTTAAAAATAAATTATCGGATAATAATATATCAAAGGAGGTAATAATATATCAAAATCTTAAAACTTTAAATGGTGCCAATTCAATTTAAATAGAATCAGTTTCATATTAGGTTGGCACTTGCAAAGACTATTAATTAAGAGATATTTATATGTAACGTGCTTTGCAGTGGGTAAACCATCTATAAAAAAATTATAAAATCAAATTAATGCCCCGTCTATGAACTTAACGCTCACAACTCTTAAGGCATATTGAAGAGGTGCAATTATTTGTTACATTGTTTATAACTTTTAAACTAATTGTCGGATTAAAATAGTGAATATGACGAATTTGTGCAAAACTTAATAACTAACAATTTTGTCTAACAATAAGACTCTAAAGCTACTTGGTTTACTGCAAAATTAGAAGGGAAAGGATTAATATGACTAAGGTACAATTATTCGTTGCATCATCCATAACTTCTAAACTATTTACAGTGATGTAATAGTATATTTGATAAATATGTTGTAAATTAAATAATCTTCAATACTGTCTAACACAATATAGCTATACAACAACTCGGTATATTTTAAAATTGTAATTAACTAGTTGGTTTGGTATTTAGCCTTGAGGCAAATTACATGAACTTCCCGATATGTGTAAATAATCGACTTAATCAAAAAAAAAGTGTAAATAATATACTTCATCAATCCTACTTTAAAAAAAACGATAATAATTTTAGCAAAGTTCGACGAATTTTTAAAATTAAACTACTTGTCGTAAGGCCGTAATATTACAGTAAGTTCTATAAGACCATGATGTATATCGCCAAAAAAAGTTCCATGAAAAAAGGCTTAAATTTTTTTTTAACAGTTAATTACAAGAAAACGGCTCGGTAGATTTTCATCTAAAATTAATCAGCATCATTTCCAAACGATATCTTTCGAACAGTTTTTGATTTTTCAAAATCGGTTCGGTAGGATGAGCTTAAATGTGGACGAAAATTTAACACTTTTTTTCAACAGTTAATTACAAGAAAACGGCTCGGTAGATTTTCACCTAAAATTAATCAGCATCATTTCCAAACGATATCTTTCGAACAGTTTTTGATTTTTCAAAATCGGTTCGGTAGGATGAGCTTACATGTGGACGAAAAGTTCAACACTTTTTTTCAAATTACAAAGAAACGGCTTGGCAGATCGTTGCACAAAACTGACAAACGATAGTCCTCACCGAAATACATCAAATGGCTTTTAAATTTCTAAAATCGGTTCAGGCGTTTTTGAGAAATTGTCGATCAAAAGTCTAATTTTGACAAATGCCAAAAAGACCATACTGATTTTTGCAAACTTTGACGAATTTTTAAAGCTGAACCAGTTGTCGTAGGGCCGTAATATTTTAGTATGATATAGAAGACTATGGTATCTATCGTCAAAAAAATAATCATAAAAATCGTCGAATTTTTTTTTTTAAAACTTTATTACAAGAAAACGGCCCGGCCGATCTCTACCAAAAACTAATCAGCACGATTCCCAACCAATATCTTTCGAACGGTTTTTGAATTTTCAAAATCGATTCATAACTGCGGGCTAAAACGTGGACGAAAGAGTTTTCACTTCTCTGCTATTTACGAAGAAACGGTTTGGCCGATCGTCGCACAAAACTGACAAACAATAGTCCTCATCGAGATACATCGAATGGCTTTTAAATTTTTAAAATCGGTCCAGCCGTTTTTGAGAAAACGGCGATTTACGGCAAAAAATCTGTTGGTGCACACGCACACACACACACACCACACACACACATACTTTTTCTAAATTTGGTCTCATTCGATTCAGAATGGCTTGAAACGTCGAGAAAACATAAAATTAGCGAATCGGATTTTTTGATGAAAACATAAACTTCTCCTTCGGGAAGTTAAAAATTATAAAATCATACTTCTTTTACTTGTGCACCACATTTGCGATCAGTTAGTTATTTTCGTACTAAACATTTTATACTAGAAATATTTTTTATGGCGAAACAACGTTTGCCGGGTCAGATAGTATGCTAGTATGCTTATATTTATATTTATATTTATACAGGGTCAGCTAGTATGTATATATATATATATATATATATATATATATATATATATTTATCATTTGTCTTTTATCTTTGCAGAATGGACAGGAACCCTAATAAAATTCCTCAAAGACCAGTTACCAAAACTATTCGAATATTACAACCATGGTTTGCTCGACAAAGACAAAGGCGACAAAGAAAAGGAAAAGGACAAGACCGGCAGTTCGACTCCAAATCATGTTTCTTCGAATCATGTTCCCAATATGACTCCACCGAGCATGCCATCGCCTGCTTTACCAACCACAAGTAAGATAATAGAAATATGAATTAAACTAGTTGTTATGGCATCGTGCCTTAAGGCAAATTGCTAGAACTTCCCGTACCGTAACGAAATATTCGAGGAATACTGAATGTTTTCAAATATCATTACAAATACTGTAACTTTCATTATTTTTTCTATCTTGTTATATCTGAGCAAATCAGATGTTAATCATAAGTAAATTTATCATTACTAATTCAATTTCAAAAAAATAGTTGTCTATTTACACAAAATTGGAAAAGTGCTCCGATATAGTCACAGTCTAAACGCACTTGCAAATAATTTTGTTCCACATTTTCGCTTAGACGGTGTTTAGCTTGGCGGTATTTTTACATTCTTCAATAGTTTCCTCATAACTGAAAATGTATTGCATTTTTACCTCAAAATTACATTTCTATAATTTAATTAAAATTGGAAAAGAGCTTCCAGAGTACACTCACAGTCTAAACGCGCTTGTGATAATATTTGTAACAGATTATCACTTAGACTATGCTTAGTCTGGGTAATTTTTCGAATGTTTTAGTCCAAAATTACACATTTTTATTAATTTACTAACTTATAGTCTAAATGCATTTGCAAATAATTTTGTGCGGCATTTTCACTTGGTCTGTGCTTTGCTCGGCGACATTTTTACATTTTTTAATAGTTTTCACAAAATTGAAAAAACGTTCATAGTCACAGTCTAAACGCATTTGCGAATAATTTTGTTCCACATTTTCGCTTAGACGGTGTTTAGCTTGGCGGTATTTTTACATTCTTCAATAGTTTCCACATAACTGAAAATGTATTGCATTTTTACCTCAAAATTACATTTCTATAATTTAATTAAAATTGGAAAAGAGCTTCCAGAGTACACTCACAGTCTAAACGCGCTTGTGATAATATTTGTACCAGATTATCACTTAGACTATGCTTAGTCTGGGTAATTTTTCGAATGTTTTAGTCCAAAATTACACATTTTTATTAATTTACTAACTTATAGTCTAAATGCATTTGCAAATAATTTTGTGCGGCATTTTCACTTAGATTGTGCTTTGCTCGGCGACATTTTTACATTTTTTAATAGTTTTCACAAAATTGAAAAAACGTTCGCATAGTCACAATCTAAACGCATTTGCGTAAATATTTGTACCAGGTTGTCACTTAGACTGTGAATAGTGTGATTTTTTTGAATTTTTACCTCAAAATTACATTCCTATTAATTTGCCTAAATTTGGAAAAGTGCTACATACAGAAACAGTCTAAACGCACTTGCGACACTATTTGTTCCAGATTGTCACTTAGACTGTGCTTAGTCTGGATACTATTTTGAATTTTTAAACAAAAATTACATTTCTACAAATAATTTACACAAAATTGAAAAACTGCTTCTGTATAGTCACAATCTAAACGCACTTGCAAATAATTCTGTGCGACATTTTCACTTATACTGTGCTTTGCTTGGCGGCATTTTTACATTTTTCATAAGTTTACACAAAATTGAAAAAACGCTCCTGTATAGTCACATTCTAAACGCACTTACGAAAACATTTGTACCAGAGTGGCGCTTAGACTGTGCTTAGCCTGGGTGATTTTTTGAATTTTTAATCCAAAATTACAAAAATATTTTATGGATAATAAAATAAAGATATAATAATTTTTCATCCTTAAAAGCAATTGTTTTGTCAATACAAGCAGAAAGTTTTTTAAATCATTCAAATCGGACGCTTAGTTCACTATAAAACTGCAATTTTTTTGTACATTTAGCTCGGTATCTCCGAAACGGCTAGACCTGCCTTTGCCAAAAACTAATCACCTCTTCTCCCAATCGTTACTAATTGAATGTTTTTTAGATCATTCAAATCGGATGCTCCGTTTTCTCAAAAACTCTATTTCTATTTTCTTCACTATTTGCTCCGTATCTCCGTAACGGCTGGATCTGCCTTTGCCAAAAACTAATTAGCACATCTCGCTATCAATAGGAATCGAATGTTTTTTGAACCATTCAAATCGGTTGATTCGTGCGCCCGAAAACGTCGACGAAAAATTGTAACCACACATACACAATGTTCAGAAACCTTTGAAACGTTTGCAAAAATTTTTAATTTTGATTTTTGGACGATTACAATAACTTACCCTACGGGAACTTAATTAGTAATCATTATTAACTTCCATTTAAATTTTTTTTCATTCCCAAAAAAATATTTTTTTTGTCGAAAATTAAGATTTTAATTTTAATTCTGGCTAAAGTTCTAAAGCTCACTTATATACTTTAATTATATATAACTTATTTATTAATATTAATTATTAATAATTTTAACTTTGCACTTCAGTTTATATAATTCTAAAAAATATGAGATAAGGCCCTTTCATTCTAATGGATTGTAATTTTTCGTCGCCGATTTTGGGAGCACGGATCAACCAATTTGAATAATTCAAAAAACATTCGATTCCTATTGATAATGAGACGTACTGCTTAGTTTTTGGCAAAGGCAGGTCCAACCGTTTCGGAGATACGGGGCAAAACGTGCCAAAAACGGTAATTCAGTTTTTGAGAGAACGGAGCGCCCGATTTGAATGATTCAAATAACACTTTACTTGTATTGACGCAAAGAATTTTTTTTAAATTATTATATTTGTTACAACTGCTAAATAATTAACATCAGTAATAATAATGAACAATTATATAAATTTAATAAAAAGAGCACAAAATAAAGGATAGAATCGTCAATAAAATGATATCCGTAGTATGTAAAAAGAAGAATTGATTACATTTTTGGGAAGGCAGGTCTAGCAGTTTTGGAGATACAGAGTAAAAAGTACAAAAAAGTGCCTTTCTGCATTCAAAAATGATTATTAGACATATGCACATCAAATTATCAGATATTTTATAAAGATTTTGATAATGTGTACTAATTTTGTTACAATTTTTTTGGGTTCCGTACCCAAATTTTAAAGTTTTAATTTTTAAAGTTCACTTATAGGGTTCAAACAAATTTCAAATTTTTTTTAAACTTGTCGAAAATATGTATATAAAAATACATAAATTTTAAATTTACAATTCAGTTTAAAAATGTATATATTTCATATGAGTTATTGCAATCGTAAGAAACATCATCAGATGGATTCATTCAGGGCATCCCTTGTTAATGTAAACATTCTTAAGTGTTTTGTGCGATAACGTCGTCACTGTATAATATATGAACGATAAAATATAAAGTAATCATATTTATTTATTTATTTATTTATTTATTTATTTATTTATTTATTTATTTATTTATTTATTTATTTTACAAGCCGTCGGTATAATAATATTATAATAAGGCTCAAGTCAATATTTTGCAGATTTAATACAATTTAATTAACAATTAGCTATTTTATTACTTATTTATTTATTATTTGATTTATTTACTATAAACTTATTTATATTTAGTTAATTTTAATTTTTCTTAAATATAACTAGTTTGTTTGCTGCAAGTATTTTTTAAAAATTTAATAAGTATTTTAATAAACTTTGCAATACTTTTATAATATAATTATTTTATTTGACATATTTTAGGATATTTTAAGATATTTTAACAAATGTAAGTGTCTTATATTGTTATTATTATTATTATAATTATTAAGTATTTTTACAATATAAATATTTTCTTTTACAATTTTTTAGGTATTTTACTGACAGGAATATTTTGTTGCACTATTTTTTAAGTGTTTTTGAATTATAAGTTTTTAGTTAACTAATTAATAAGTATTTTAACAATAACAGTCATATAAAAATAATAATTAAAATAATAATGATAATAATAATAATAATAGTAATTCAGAAGTATTTTTGCAACAGAAGAAATATTTAGTTTAACGAATAATTATCTATTTGAAAATATTTAAAACAATTATTATTAATCATTCATCAATATTTATTGATTACTGATTTTTTCCCTCGAATATTTTATTACGGTACGGGAAGTTCCAGCAATTTGCCTCAAAACACGATTCCATGTATTTTATTATAGATTAATTTAATTTAATTTAGATTTTATTTTTAATTCTGACTAAAGTTCTAATATACTTTAAATAAATAATTTTAACTTTGCAATTCAGTTTATATAATTCTCATAAATATTCGACAATGTTACAATATTTATAATAATCTATTTGAAAACATTCAGTATTCCTCGAACATTTCGTTACGGTACGGGAAGTTCCAGCAATTTGCCTTAAGGCACGATGCCATACACCTCACTAGTTTTTTTTTACAAATTTGTAGGTATTTTACTGAAAGAAATATTTTGTTTCACAATTTTTTAAGTGTTTTTAAATTAGAAGTTTTTAGTTAACTAATTAATAAGTATTTTAACAATAACAATCATATAAAAATAATAATTAAAATAATAATGATAATAATAATAATAATAGTAATTCAGAAGTATTTTTGCAACAGAAGAAGTATTTAGTTTAACGAATAATTATCTATTTGAAAATATTTAAAACAATTATTATTAACCATTCATCAATATTTATTGATTACTGATTTTTTCCCTCGAATATTTTATTACGGTACGGGAAGTTCCAGCAATTTGCCTCAAAACACGATTCCATGTATTTTATTTTAGATTAATTTAATTTAATTTAGATTTTATTTTTAATTCTGACTAAAGTTCTAATATACTTTAAATAAATAATTTTAACTTTGCAATTCAGTTTATATAATTCTTATAAATATTCGACAATGTTACAATATTTATAATAATCTATTTGAAAACATTCAGTATTCCTCGAACATTTCGTTACGGTACGGGAAGTTCCAGCAATTTGCCTTAAGGCACGATGCCATACACCTCACTAGTTTTTTTTTACAAATTTGTAGGTATTTTACTGAAAGAAATATTTTGTTTCACAATTTTGTAAGTGTTTTTAAATTAGAAGTTTTTAGTTAACTAATTAATAAGTATTTTAACAATAACAATCATATAAAAATAATAATTAAAATAATAACGATAATAATAATAATAATAGTAATTCAGAAGTATTTTTGCAACAGAAGAAGTATTTAGTTTAACGAATAATTATCTATTTGAAAATATTTAAAACAATTATTATTAACCATTCATCAATATTTATTGATTACTGATTTTTTCCCTCGAATATTTTATTACGGTACGGGAAGTTCCAGCAATTTGCCTTAAGCCACGATACCATATATTTTATTTCTTACAGCCCCTGAAGATCACAAAACGTCCCTAAAACAATGGAACTACTGTGTACAACTTGCAAAATATTTGTACGAAGAAGGTTTACTCGATCGCCAGGAATTTTTAAATTGGATTTTAGAACTTTTAGACAAAATGAGATCCCATCCATCGGACGATGGAATTCTAAAACTATTTTTGCCCCTGGCTTTGCAATATCTATCGGAATTTGTGCAATCGGAGATTTTATGCAGACGTTTGGCATACGCTTGCACCAAGAAATTAGCTTACATGTGTAATAATATTTCGGAAAGCACTTTGTTGGCGGTGAATGAAAATAAACAAGACGGGAAGGAAGATGGTAAAAATTCGAATGTTAATCCTATACAAATGACGTTTACGGAGTATTTGAATTGTCCACATCATCGGGATTTGATTTTGCAGTTGAGCAGCATAATTCAGGTGAGTGTTAAAGTTATTTTTAGTATTGAAGTGAAACTTTTAATCTGATGTTGTGGAGAGCTTTAGAATTTTGTGTTTCTGAAAGTGCCTAAAGACGTTGTGGAGTATCTCAGAATGTTCTAGAGCAGTGGTCGGGGAACTTTTTGAAGTAAAACTTCTTTAGGCGCGATATGGGTGTAAAAATTTTTAGGCGCGACACGGGTGTAAATCCGTACAAATGCAACGAAAATGCCAACGTGTAGTTGAACACTACGACGCCGTAAGCGCTGATGTCGCGAGTATCCACTCATATCGCGTCATGTCATGCGTAAGTCGAGCGCTAAACCCGCTAAACCCTATATGAACTTGCATTAATTGAATCACGTTTTTTATGTTATGTCCTCATGGAATAAGACTTTTCTTAGAGAATAAATGTGTCATGGAATATAATAAATTTATATTGAATCTCGTTGAAGACAAAATAATATCTACTGCCACGGATATTTATGTAGGTTGCCATGCGACAGATCAACAATCATACATTCGTCAGCAGTTTCAAAAAAATCGGTTATTGATACCGGGGCTTTGCCGTATGAAATAATTTTATTTTTGAATAAATTTTACATAATAACAACTAATATCGATGTAAGTGATGGCTTAGCTAATGATTGTGTGGGAAAATTAGTGTACATAGAACGTGGCGATAATGATGAACTTCTACGTTTATGGTTTGAATTTCCCGGTAAGATAGGTAACAAAATTAGGAAGAAAGCTTCACATCATATTCAAACTCTTAATATCAGTAGGACAGCTGTGCCGATGCTCAGGAGATCTTATTATTATTGATGCTATATGATTATTAAAAGATGATTTTTAAAATTCAAATATGATGTTTTTTTTATTTTTATCTTAATTGCCTACTCATACAATATTAAAAGTTTTACTTCAATCGCGTGTGATCCTTACGCGCACTCTTTTTTTTAATCATTACGACAAATTTTTTTTGTCTAAGCTCATATTATCCCCATGGCGAAACGAGATTACCCCCATATTAAACACAGTAAATATCAATAAAATATACATATTTTTTACCCCAGAAAATCCATTTTTACCCCATCTGGGGCAATTTACGCCGGTCTCGGAATGTTTTTACTTGTCTCAAATTATTGTGGAGTGTCTCGGAATGTTTTAGAGTGTCTCGGAATGTTTTGGAGTGCCTCAGGATGTTTTGGAGTGCCTCAGGATGTTTTGGAGTGTCCCAGGATGTTTTGGAGTGTCCCAGGATGTTTTGGAGTGTCCCAGGATGTTTTGGAGTGTCTCAGCATGTTCTAGAGTAGAGCATGTTCTAAATGCTGTAAAGTGTCCCAGAATGTTTTAGAGCACCCCAGAATGTTTTTAGGTGTTTCAGAATGTTTTTAGGTGTCTCAGAATGTTCTGGATTGTCTCTGGATGTTTTCATGTTCTGGAGTGTCTCAGGATGTTCTGGAATGTGTGAGAATGTTTTGGAGTGTCTGAGAACGTTGTGGACTCTTTCACAACTTTTTGGTGTCTCTCAGAACTTTTTGGAGTCTCTCAGAACTTTTTGGAGTCTCTCAGAACGTTGTGGAGTCTTTCAGAATGTTTTGGAGGCTCTCAGAACGTTGTGGGGTCTTTGAGAACGTTTTGGAGTCTTTGAGAACGTTTTGGAGTCTCTCAGAATGTTTTGGAGGCTCTCAGAACGTTTTGGAGTCTCTCAGAACGTTTTAGAGTCTCTCAGAATGTTTTGGAGTCTCTCAGAACGTTTTGGAGTCTCTCAGAACGTTTTGGAGTCTCTCAGATCGTTTTGGAGTCTCTCGGAGTCTCTCAGATCGTTTTGGAGTCTCTCGGAGTCTCTCAGATCGTTTTGGAGTCTTTCGGAGTCTCTCGGAGTCTCTCAGATCGTTTTGGAGTCTTTCGGAGTCTCTCAGAACGTCTTAGAATCTCTCGAAGTCTCTCAGAACGTTTTGGAGTCTCTCGGCTTCTCCCAGGACGTTTTGGAGTCTCTTGGAGTCTATCAGAACATTTTGGAGTCTCTTGGAGTATATCAGAACATTTTGGAGTCTTTTAGAGTCTCTCTGAACGTTTTGGGGTCTCTTAGAACTTTATGGAGTCTCTTAGAACTTTGTGGAGTCTCTGAGAACTTTGTGGAGTCTCTGAGAACTTTGTGGAGTCTCTGAGAACTTTGTGGAGTCTCTGAGAACTTTGTGGAGTCTCTGAGAACTTTGTGGAGTCTCTGAGAACTTTGTGGAGTCTCTGAGAACTTTGTGGAGTCTCTGAGAACTTTGTGGAGTCTCTGAGAACGTTGTGGAGTTTCTCTGAACTTTGTGGAGTTGTCTGAGAGTCTTGCAAGTTGTCTGAGAGTCTTGCAAGTTGTCTGAGAGTCTTGCAAGTTGTCTGAGTGTCTTGCAAGTTGTCTGAGAGTCTTGCAGCTCGTCTGAGAGCTTTGCAGCTCGTCTGAGAGCTTTGCTAGTCGTCTGAGAATGTTGCAAGTCATCTGAGAGAGACTTTAGTCGTCTGAGAGAGACTTTAGTCGTCTGAGAGAGTGTTGCAAGTCGTCTGAGAGTGACTTTAGTCGTCTGAGAGAGTACTTTTAGTCGTCTGAGAGAGACTTTAGTTGTCTTAGAGTGTCTTTAGTTGTCTTAGAGTGTCTTTAGTCGTCTGAGAGTGTCTTTAGTCGTCTGAGAGTGTCTTTAGTCGTCTGAGAGTGCCTTTAGTCGTCTGAGAGAGTCTTTAGTTGTCTAAGAGTGTTGCAAATTGTCTGAGAGTGTCTCAAATTGTCCGAGAGTGTCTCAAGTCGTCTGAGAGTGTCTCAACTTGTCTGAGAGTGTCGCAACTTGTCTGAGAGTGTTGCAAGTCGTCTGAGAGAGTGTTGCAAGTCGTCTGGGAGTGCCTTTAGTCGTCTGAGAGTGCATTTAGTCGTCTGAGAATGCCTTTAGTCATCTGAGAGAGTCTTTAGTTGTCTAAGAGTGTTGCAAATTGTCTGAGAGTGTTGTAAATTTTGTGAAAATAATCATTGATGCAATATATTACTATTGCTTGCTAACCTTGCTTACTAACCTTACTTTATAAAAACAATATTAGTCGACAAAAAATCAATTCCTAACATACCCCTGCATATTTTTACTTCAATATCTCTAAATCTTACTTTATCATTTTTTTCCTTTTGGAAATGTTGCAAGTCGTCTGAAAATGTCGTAGATTTTAAAAAAATGTCGTAAATTTTGAGAAAATGAAGTAGATTTTGAAAAAAAAAATTGATTCCTACCCCATCTTATATCTATTCCAATACCACCAAATTTAACTTTATAATTTTTTACATAACTTTTATACCCCAAGGTAATCTCCATCGAATGTCCAACTGCCCTAGTTTGGTGTGGCATCGGAGAACCAAAAACCAACTCCATTCTACACGGAAGCCCATTGGACATACTACCAGTCAGTCCTTCTCTATTACCGATGCCTACAAAGACACCAATAAGCAATGCCAGTCTACGACAAACTTTAAGACAAGCCGAAGAGGCAATCAGGCAAAGATCCAGGCAAGCGGAAGGTCGATGGTGCTCTGACAAATGGCAGACTAGTTCTGCAGGTAAGCAGACAGGTATAATATCAACGAAAGAATAAGTTTTAAAGCTTGATAAGTAATATTTGAGTTGGTGGTGCAGGTTGTGGTAGTTAGGATTAGTAATATATAGAATATCTTTGGTAGTTTTAGAATTGATAGGTGTACGTCTTGTGTACTAAATATACAAAATACTCTCACTTTTTACTGATTGATGAGAGTGTTGTTTTATTTTTTTGTATATGTTAGTACTGCACCTCGCTTTGATATATATTAGGTTGTCAAATATCTCCCTTCCGCTTTTTTGCTATTGGTTTATAATACAAAAAGGCGGAAGGGAGATATTTGACAACCTAATATATTTAGATTTTTTTTTTTTATATTTCACATTTGCTTTTATATTTCACATTTTATATTTTTATATTTACATTTTATTTATTCACAATTGAATTTCCATTACATTACATTTTATTTTATATTTACATTTTACATTTTTGTTTACATTTCTATTTCTGATTATTTTTAATTATTTTTTACATTTTCATGTACATTTACATTTTTACTATACATTTTCATTTTACATTTTTATTTTAATTTACGATACATATTCTAATTTGTGTTTTTATTTACATTTATATTTTTATTTTACATGTTTTTTTACGTTTTTGTTATTCATTTTTATTTTATATTTCAGTTGAAATTTTTATTCTACATTTTACATTTTAATTTTTAATATGTTTTTAATTTACATGTTTATTTTACGTTTTTATTTCCATTTTTATTTTTACATTTTACATCCCATTTCAACGTAGATTTTAATTTACATTTTTCTTTTACTTTTTTATTTATATTTGAATTTACATTTCACCTTAGAGTTTATTTTACATTTCAGTTTACATTTTTCTTTCACATTTTACATTTTACTTTACATTTTTATTTATATTTGACTTTATACAGTTTAATTTACATTTCACCTTACATTTTTATCCACATGCTTATTTTAAATTTTTATTTACATTTTACATTTTAGTTCACGTTTATTTTACATTTTACATTTTACATTTACATTTACATTACATTTCACATTTTAATTTATATTTTACATTTTAATTTACAGTTTAATTTGCAACTTAATTAACATTTTACCTTACATTTTTAAATATATTTTATATTTTAATTTACATTTTAGTTTACATTTTTATTTACATTTCACATTTTGATTTACATTTTCTATTTTATTTTAAATTTTTTATTTCACATTTTATTTCGGATTTTAATTAACATTTTACATTGTAATTTAAATTTCACTTTTTAATTTACGTTACACATGTTTTTTCTATTTAAATTTAAATTACACATTTCAATTTGCATTTTTATTTACATTTATATTTTTATTTTACATGTTTATTTACATTTCAGTTGACATTTTTGTTTTACGTTTTACTTTTATATTTACATTTCACATTTTAATTCACATTTCAGATTTTAATTTTAAATTACATTTTTATTTTATATTTTATATTTTTTTACATTTTACATCGCATTTTAATTTTTGTTATACATTTTTATTTTAAATGTTTATTTACATTTTTGTTTTACATTTTACATTTTTATTTACATTTCACATTTCACATTTTAATTTAAAATTACATTTTTATTTCACATTTTACATTTTATGTTTAATTACATATTTTAATTTACATTTTTATTTACATTTCACATTGTAATTTACATTTTAGTAACATTTTACATTTTACATTTTAATTTACATTTTTTACTTTAATTTACTTTACACATATTTAGTTACATTTTATATTTTAATTTACATTTCAATAAAGACACGTCTTTATTTACATTTATGTTTTATAAATCTAGATTTTACATTTTATATATTTAGATTTTACTATTTGTATTTTAATTTAAATTTCACATTTTACATTACTATTAATTTTATATTTTACATTACTTTTCATATTTTATTTTGGATTTTAATTAACATTTTACATTTTAATTTAAATTTTAATTTTAATTAACATTTTACATTTTAATTTAAATGTCACATTTTAATTTACATTACACGCTTTAATTTACATTCTTATTTACATTTACGTTTTCATTTTACATGTTTATTTATATTTTTGTTATACATTTTTATATGCATTTTGATTTTTATTTATTTTTTACATTTTATTTTCATTTTCTATTTTAATTTGAATTTTACATTTCACATTACATTTCACATTTTACTTCAGATTTAACATTTTACATCATATTTTACATTTTAATTTTAATTTACATGTTTATTTAAACTTCAATTTAAATTTCAATTTACATTTCAATTTACATTTTTATTTACATTTTAATTTACATTATAATTCTACATTTTAACATAATTTACATTTTAATTTTAATTTACATTGTACATAATTTTGAATTTACATTTTACATTACAATTTACATTTATTTGAAAAAAAATATAAAATTGATCTAAAAGTGTTCTTAGTAAAGTTTTATTTTAAACTACTAAACCGTAATAACTTGGTTGCCAATCCTATTAATTTATAAATATCAGAATAGTTTTATATTATCATATAGTTGTATAGTAAATGATTTTTTTTATTATTTTATTCAAACCATTGTTAATCACAAAAAATAATGAATAATAAAAAAGATTTTGTTTTAGTCTTAGCATATGTGTAATTATGTTTTTAATCACATTTTTTCTGACTTCAAAATTAATTTATTCAAGGAACCACTACAAGCAAAATTCTCAGCACTTTGGACGCTTTGGATAGACACAATTTTGAAAAAATGGACACTACAAATTCTTTAGACACGCTATATGCAAAAATATTTACACCATTTAAGGATAACACTGAAAATACTTCCAAAGAAAACAGGACGGAATATGTAAGTAACCACTTATTACAAATTAAATATATATATATATATATATATATATATTTATATTATATTTTTTTCACAGAATCCAGAACAAGATTCAGCAGTCGTCTCAATTTTGTGTGAGTGGGCAGTTTCCTGCGAACGATGGGGAGAGCATCGAGCCATGGCTGTTGCTTGGTTGCTCGATAAAAGGCAGAGCGATATTACCCAAAGTGATAATGATAATTATAACAATATGAGTGGTAAGATATAATTATTAACTTTTATTTTTACTTGGATAAAATCACACAGTTTTTAAATCTTCAAAAATTATTTTTCAAATAATGCATTTATTTGGAATGGTAACAAATTAATTGTCTAAAAGTAATCTATACATAATATATTAATATATATATATATATATATATATATATATATATAATATATATATAAATATAAATATATAAATATGTTATATAATATATAATATAATTTATAAAATAACATATTATATATTTATAAGATTGTCAGTATGAAGTTGTTTGAGTTTGAATTTGAATTTGAATTCAACGGCCGTTGGCGCAAACACAAAAGGCATGTGAAGTTGGCGTTGTTTTGGCATTCAAATTAATGGCGCAAAATTCAAATGAAAGTTTGTGAATTTCAGTAATCGGATATTTAAAACTAAATTTCTAAATATTTTGTTTGTTTGTAGAAGCTTGTACTTGATTTCTTATATAATTTCCTACAATTTGTCTCTTTTCTCAAAGTGTAATATGATTAGACTAAAACCTCACTCATTTCTAATTGAAAACTAGTGGGGTGGGTGGCATCGTGCCTTAAGGCAAATTGCTGGAACTTCCCGTACCGTAACGAAATGTTCGAGGAATACTGAATGTTTTCAAATAGATTATTGTAAATATTGTAACATTGTCTAATATTTATAAGAATTATATAAACTGAATTGTAAAGTTGAAATTATTTGTTTAAAGTATATTAGAACTATAGTCAGAATTAAAATTAAAATCTGAATTATTTTCGATATATAAAAAATTAAAAAAAAAAAAAAATTGAAATAAATTTTTTTTTTCAAAATCAATTATTTTGTTAAGACAAGCAGAAAGTTCTTTGAATCATTCAAATCGGACGCTTAGTTCTCTCAAAAACTGCCATTTTTTACATATTTAGCTCCGTATCTTCGAAATGGCTGGGCCTGCCTTTGCCAAAAACTAATAAACACTTCTCCCAATCATTACTAATTGAATGTATTTTAGATCATTCAAATCGGATTTTCCGTTCTCTCAAAATGTCGATTTCTATTTTTTGCACTCTTTGCTCCGTATCCTCGAAACGGCTGGACCTGCCTTTGCCAAAAACTAATCAGCTCTTTTCCCTATCGATAGGAATCGAATGTTTTTTGAACCATTCAAATCGGTTGATCCGTGCGCCCGGAAACGTGACTGGAAATTTGTATCCATACATACATACACACACATACACACACACATACACACACACACATCCATTTTTTCTGAGGAATGCCAAAATGTTCAGAAACCTTCAAAACGTCGGGAAATTTAAAAATTTTCAATTCTGAAGTTAATAAAACACGGCGAAGCGTGAATGGGTACACAGTTACTTTCTTATAGAATGTAAACATTTTGCTTTTTTAATATAAAAATATTAGATTTGTTTTTCAAATTATTTGCGATTTGTTTTTTGTGATTTTTTTTTTATATATCTTCGGTGACCATTTCTATTTTCGAGTGTTATATATTTTATTGTACCGTAAGTCGTTTATCCTTTTCATAAAATTCATAATTTAAGTAAGCTGATTGTTCCAGTCGATTTTATACATTGCACATCTTTTTGAATATATCCATTTATTTTCTATTCCTCAAAATAGATCTTATATTATATACAATAAACTACACCGAAAGGTGCTATACAACCCCCCACCCTCGATATTATTATAGGGGCTATTCAACCCCCCATCCTCAAATTTTATTATATATGTATTTATTATTTTTATTTGTAATCTGTTATATTTTTTCTCTATTTTTAGGTAATTCTGATGACAAAGACTCTGTCAGTTCTGGTGCAGGTGTTCCTGGTGGTGTGCCGATATTCCAATCACTTCTGAT